TCTAATAATGTCTGAGAATTTATAATATCAATATCTGTTATCATATCTATATCTGTTCTAAAAGGTATATCATATTTTGAAATATTTTTCTTCCTTTTTTCCAATTTATCTATGATATCTTGTATATCTTTTATAATTATTGTTCTAACAATTCTTTTAGCAAAATTTTCTAATAAGTTTTTTTTGAAGCATTTTAATATTTCTTGTGATGCATATAAATGTTCTTGATATCCTATCTTATCAATTTCTTTTTCAAACTTAATTTCTTTTTTATTTTTAACAACCTTTTTTATATTATATTGTCCTCTCTTATATTTGGGTTTTTCTATTTTATAATTAGTCATTAATAATTCTCACAAATTTTTAGAAAAATTATTTGTTAATTTTTTAAGAACTTAAATAGAAGATTTATATTAGATAAAGGGTTGTTCTTTAATATTTGTTTAAGGGTATTTTAGGTAATCCAAAATGTTTAGAAAAGTCAAAGGCTATTTTGGAAAATCCTTCCTTTATTTAGGTCAATTTGAGGTATTTCCCGCATCTATAAGCTATCTGGCAGTTATTCCCGATATGGAAATAGAGTTGCCCATGTTGTGTGGCTAGTATGAATGTCTCCCATTTTGGTCCTGGAGTGATCGTATCTTGTTTTATTTGCCGTCGTTTTGGGTTCAAGACGACTTGATTTAATGAAAGTTTGAATTTTCCCTTCAAAAAAGGAAATAATTAATAATTAAAATAAACTTACCTTGATTATGGTTGTTATTATAAACTGAGAACTTTAGTATAAAAAAATTCAATTTATAGGGTGATCAAAATTAATTATCCTATGTCAAATATTTTATTTTGAAACGGATTTCAAATAACATATCTTTTATGTGCATAAAATCAAACAAAAATTTGATTTACCAAAATCGAATATGTAAAGTAGAAACAAGAAATGCATGAATATGAATTCGGTCGAGGCAAGAGTTTGACTCTTTCTCTTTAAGACAATAATGTTCTGCACGGGTGCTATCGATTTTTCGACATGTCTTCCAAAACACAACGATCACATCTCATAATAGGAACACTCCAAATTACTTAGACTAATGGACCTATTTATGTTAATAAATGCAAAATTTTGACATGAATATGTATTAATATAATAATGCAATTATGAAATGAATGAATGAACAAAAACAAACACATTATATCTACATATAAATGTTAAAAATATTTACTCAAGAGACACAACATATGAAAGAGATATAACTATTGGAATTAATATCTATATTTGTAGACACATGTCTATTAAAAAAATAATATAATGCCAAAAATCGCAATCTTTCATGCAGAAAGACATATTTTTTCAACCAAATAATTTTCTCACAATTCACGTATTTAAGTGACTTAAATTTGATTTAATTTTCAATTCACCAAATTATAATTTTCACATAAATAATTAAGAATTGGTTAAAACCAATTTCATATACAAATTTTCAACTGTATAGGCTCTATTGAAGTTTATTTTAAATTTGGTAATATATGAAAATACTCTTAAAATGGGACATAAACACGTAATATTTAATATATGCTTTTCACATGTTGAACTAGCGTCTAAATCCTGAATCTGTTATGAAAGCAAATTATTAGTCAGAGTTATTTGATGTAACATGGAGTCTGATTAATTTTATAATTAATATATCGTTGTTCTTTGATTAGTTAACGAGGATGAAATCGCAATCCAAAATCCGTGTCCTACGATCATTAATACGAGCAATTTAATATGAGTTATGATAATGAGATTGTTGGACTCTTATTTATGACTCAATCACAATATATTGTAAAGCGAAAACGTTAGTCGTGGAGTTTCATTATAGTTAAAGTGGCGGTTGATCAAACGAGGTACTTATAATTATTTAATGGCAACTTGTTAGAACGACTTGTAGGAAAATTTAATAAAAATTAAGTTGCAATTTCGGATTGATAATGAAAAAAGTCGAGACTTTATTGATTAGACTTTTAACGATCAAGATTTGATTACTACAATATTTGATTACTACAATATTTGATTAATCGAAACTTAAATCTGTATAGGCTCCTCACATGCTGGGTAGGGGGTGAGGGGAGAGTGCGTGATTATTTTTAAAAAAAATTATCCCACCCCCTGGATTGTGTGTGCCCTGTACTGGCAACAGAACCCATCAATTATATTCCATCACGTCCCTTTAATGGATTCAGTTATTGATTATAGCGATTTACAATTAATTAATTATGGAAATTGCAATTGATTATAGTAACTATGCGTAAATTATTTTATTTAAGATTGAAATACACTACGAATTCATCGAATGACAATGACAATAATGAAATAAGTAAGAACAAAATAAGAATAACAAAATTTATATGAAAACCCAAAATGGGAAAAATCACAGGAAGATAAAAAGTAATCGACTATAATCAATAGTAATTTATTTACAACATGACCTCAATACTCTGAATTAAGATCTAAAACTCTCAAAATGTTGTATGAATATTATAGGAACAATACAAACCGTGAATTATATATATATATATATATTGTAGATGAACATGAGTCCAAAATACGCATCAAAACGTGAAACGGGCATGGGATGGATATCCCTGCTGTTCGAACGACAAGCGAGTGGTAACAACTCCGCTGCTCGAACGCCGAGTGAGCGACAAGTCTCTGTAGAAAATGTACAGGCGCCGCTTGAGTCGCTAACTAGCTAGTGACAAGCTAGCAAAAATGCGACGACTTTTCTTTCCGTTCCATAATTTTGATCTCTTCAAAACCATTTTAACCAATACTCCAATATCCACTAGATTTTGAATCAAACAACAACAAAAATTTTTATAGGTAAAGATAAAAATGTATGAATTATGGGGTAGTATGGAAAATCGTGCATCGGATATGTGATATGAGGATACGGTTTGATATGATTTTGTTGTGAGAAAGGAAAATATTTTATCGGCCTTGCTAGTCATTTGCTTGAGCGAACAAGATGACTTACTCATGTGGAATCCCTTCTGGTGAGACTTTGTGAAAGAGCGAAAGATTATAGAAAAAAAAAAAAATCGTACATGAAGATCCTAACTTGTTAACTTGTCCATGAATGTCAAGGAGGACAATATTAGAGAGAAACGTCTCACTAATTTTATTATAATAAAAAATCAATTAAGTCCATCCAGGCTTATAATTCACATTTAAATTAACAATTAAACTTTGAACGTTAACCAAACTTCTAGATAATGATTAATTCTAGGCAAGGATAAGAATAAAGATAACGACGGATTAAAATCCTAATATAATTTAAACTAACAAAATTATTTAGAAAAACGTGTTTTTGGAGCCCCCAGACGTGGTTTGTTAATTGGGACGTTTTCACATAAAATAGACACAAAATTATCCGAAAATGAAAACTTGGAAAATTTATTTCTTTCGATCCCAATCTCACTTTTCCATGAAATTTTATTCTCTCTTTATTGTATCACTTTGCAAATAATTTCGAGAAAATTTGGCCCTTTAATTCATCATAACTTCGTGTTTTGGTCATTTTAATCATAGTTTTTAGACACAATCCGAGCATCGACTCTGATAAGGTATTGGGATTTGGGTTACTAGTTGAACCGGTGGGTCATTGCATAAAACTATATAAAAAGAATTAAAAAGTACAAAAAAATTTTTAGGCAAAATTATATTTTTTAAAGTTATTTTTTCACTAATTGTTTATGTTTATAAAATAAAGTAAAGGTTGGACCAAAGTTTTTAATGAAAAGTAAAAACACTTCTAGAAAATCTATATTGCACATAAAAATTATTAAAGTATTCTATTACTCCAATGGTGAGGAACTAACTGCTTTTGTTGGAGGTCCAATGTTCAATTTCATGAAGCCCCAAAATTTTAAAAGGCAATTTTAAAAGTCGGTAAATCGAGCCAACGATTTTCTCAGTCAAAGTCGGTTTTCGACTGAGTCGTGTGCATTCTTATTAAATTAATCTACCCTGCTCGGACAAGAACCCAGATCACCGATTTTCCGGGCCAACTGATCGGTCCGGGCCGAGTTTTATAACTATGATTTTAATGGTTTGCAAGCTATTATAAAAGTCTTTCTAGTTTTCTCGATGGGACGTACTTAAATCATAATCACTTTCGCGTCAATATGGCACATTCATTGTATTAGTCAACCAAATGTGCTCGACGCTATGCTTCAAGTGGATTATAATCTCCAAATTCTCCGAACATAGGAAAGATGTCTTTCAATTGCCATTGATTGGAGGGAAGACCCTCAAATGGCGCAACCAAAATTATGGAAGTTTTCCACCGATATGTAAAGCTCCAATCAACTCTCAAAGGCAAAAGTCGTGTCAAGTCCTCGTACAATTAAAACAACTCAGGAGTCCTAACAATATTTCGTATTTCATTATATACTTCACCAAATTAGAGAAGATTTCATATTTACTCGAGTAGGGCAAAAAATAGACATCTAATCTTTACATAGTTAACATGTCACATCAAATAAACTGGACACAACATCAAAATGCAATGTTATTACCAAGAATTACCAAACTACAAGTCCTAGTGCCGATCGGGTTATGAATATTAAGCAGTTTGAATAAAAAGGAAAATATAAATCAATATATAAGAGTTTGAGCCTTTTCTTTTAAAAAGGTTGACATTTTAAGCTGGAATCTCAAATCTTAAAATTGTATTAGAGTTTATTAAACTCCTACTAGTAATTTAATCTAATTAAGATTAAAAATGAGCACGAGAATTTTAAAATTGGTGTGCTCAAAAAAGCCACTTTCTTGTGGAACGTGTTAACAGATAATTTTCACATTGATTATCAACATATAGATTGACATATAATAATTTATGCTACTTATTTTAACAATGTTGACTTCTTAAAATGAAAACTAAAGTGTGAATAATAGATAAGGCATTACACCGATGTTAAGGCTGAATAATGTCAAGCCACCCAACAAAACTCGAAGTTGAAGACAATAATACAATAAACGACATGCCAGGGTGGATTATTTTTCGATTCAGACCCCAACCAAAATAATATTTACAATCCTGAAAGACAGAAACAAAAACAAATTCTCTGACACGAAAAATGATAAAGCGAAATTTGAGGGAAAAAAAACTGAAAAAGATGAGAAAAAGAATTCACAAGAAATTAAACATTTGAAGAATCAATCTTCACCATAGTTTCTTAGCCATGCTGTCGAGGGGACTTGTCTTTTGGTCCGTTTAGGACACTTCTCGGGGAAGACAATCCTTCACTTGTAACAATCTTTTTCTCACTCACTTTTTTGACATATTCCTTTTTCTTCTTTGGCTTGCTTGAATCTGAGCTCCCTCCGTTGATTGTAGGTATTAAATACCACCCAATAGATGTACACATAATGGCAAAAGATCGTCCGAAAATAGCCAATAACATAAGAATAAACATTATAACCACCAGAAAATAGTAATATGGTTGCCTAAACTTTTCCAACTTAAACCTTCCACATATCGAGCAACACTTCATATTCCTAAGGTCGGATTTTTCGTCCTTCGCTTGTTGAGCTTCATTTGTGACGGCCAAACCTTTGGACGTCTCGACTGGAGACTTCTCGGACACTACAGAGTCGTTTTTAGTAATTACGCGAGCATTTGCTTTGTGGTCTTGTGATCTTTTCTCTTTCACTTTCACGACGATCGGCTTGACGCGATTGGAATTTGAGTAAACAAAACGAACGAGAGAGACATCTTCGAAGCCCATCTGTGTATATATTTTCTGTCTCTTCTCATCAAGATCTGCTAAAAGTGCATAGAATTTCTCTAAACCCCTATTGGCATAAGGGTTCTTGTCTTTTCTTCTGCTGCCAAAACCGGTGCTTCTTTTTGATATTTTCGGAGGAGAATAGTCACATGACCTCAAGAGTTCATCATCTTCTTGAATGTTGAAGCCTCCACAAGTGAACGGACTGCACATTTGAAGAAGGGGTTGATCAATAAAAGGTTGTACTTTTCTTGTTTTTGGTCGAGGATTTGGTTTGATTGTCTGAGGATTGTGATTAGACGGACTGTCATATAAGATCGAATCAAGAAAACATTGAGAGACGCATAAGAAATATTTAAATAATTCTTTGGAAGAATTGATCAAAGAGGCGATTAGTCAAACAAATTGCAAGTCTTGCAAGCATAAATTATTTAATTCCATGGAAGCTTCTATGTTTTTGTAGATCTTGGATTTAGGATTTTATCGTCCCCTTTGACTTCTTGCAGAAGGGGTTAATGAAAATCTACATCCCGTTTGAATGTGCAAGATGGGTTTTCTTGGTATTTTCTGCAAATAGACGTGTGATTAAAGGAAAAGGAATACATGATAAAGAGGAAATTATGCTATCCACTTCAATAATTTTTTAAATTCCAAACTTAATATTCTTTTTTATTCTCAGCAACTAACTTTTTTCATTTATTACAAACACATACCCTCCCATCGGCACATCACCGCCACAAACCACGACTGCCAAACATGTACCACCACCCCTCCACCGTTGACCACAACCACCACTTACCACCATTCACCCATACGACCACTACCACTAAGGATGTACACAAAGATATTCAAACAAGAAAATCAAATCGGACCGTTTAAAAATAAAAATAAATTAAATTAAATTATATTTTTTCAAGAATTAGATTGATAAATGACAGCCTTACCCTTTAAAATAAAATATAACTATTGAAATTAATTTTAAAAAGGGTAATTTGGTCAACTGTCCATTACCAAATATTAATAATTATGTAATACCTATTATGAAAAGAGAGAATAAAAGTTAATAGACTTGTGTATGCTATAATGAGAACCAAAGTCCCATATTTATAGGGAAGGATTGGAATAAAATGGTAATAATTTTTAGGGCGAGAGTGGTACAATTGTCATTAATTAATAAACTTACTATTTACAATACTTCTCCTTAAATGACACATTAAAAAATATTATCTCTTTAAAGCCTTGTTTATTTAAAAACTCAATGGGACAAAAATGTCAAACGAAGGAAAAAAGTACAGTTATTTTGAAATATTAAAAAGAAATGCTCGCTCATTAAAACCCTACTAGGAAAATCCAGTAGAATAAAATATTAGAGAAGGAAAAAGAGTTCAGCTACTTTCTCTGATGTTGATTACTGAAAATTTTTGAGTTGACGCATTCTAGTCTCTTGAACTAATTTTTTGAATGTAGATGTCGGCAATACTTTTGAGAATAAATCAATCACATTGTAACTGGGCGAATTTGTGGAACACTAATGTCGCCATTATTTTTAAACTTACGTGTATGAAAGAATTTTAAAGAAATATACTTCATGCTATCACATTTGATATAACCTCCTTTGAGTTGTGCAATACAAACTGCATTATCTTCATACAAAATTGTTATAATATCTTTTGTTGAAGTTAATCTACATGATGTTTGGTAATATGTCATATTTCTCAACCATACACATTGTCTACCTGCTTCGAGGATTGCTTCACAAATCTCTATGATATAGCTATTCCTCCACATGTAAACACATATCATATTTGTGATTTTACTTTATGTAGATCAGAGAGATAATCTGTATTTACATATCCTACTAAAGCATATCCGAATTTTTGTGAATAAATTAATCCCAAATCAATAGTACATTTCAAGTAACAAAGAATATGTTTAACAACATTTCAATATTTTTAAGTTGGTATAAGCTATATCTTGTGAGAAGATTTAAAGAAAAGCTATATAGGCTAAGCATAGTTTTCAAGATTAGTTAATACTTTAATAGTACTAAGATATGGTTAGGGATGGTAAAAATCAGTCAAACTCGATATCCACAGGGCCCATCCCAAACGGGATGGAGATTACCCGCTTAATCTAATATTCGGGTCGGGTTCGGTTCGAGAAATTTCGCCCCGAGGCGGGTATGGATAATACCCGCCCAGCCTCGTCGCGCTCCGTTTAATTTTTTTTTAAAGAGTTCAATACTTTTAATGGAAAAACGTTACGAAATTTCATTAATTTTAATAAATGATGACAACTAAGATTATTTAAAGAATATGATAAATAATAAAAATCTTAGTTTACCAAATATATTCGAATAATTTAACTTTTAAAAATAAATAAATTAAATAAAAATTTTAATAACTATATTATTTTCCCACTTTAATGAATGGGTGCAACAAAATGAATTTAAAAAAAAAAATGGATACCTAAACGGACAAGACCTACCTGAGCCTACTAACGCATTAGAGATATAGTGGTAAGACTTGAAAAGATTCAGACACATTACAACCCTTCGGATATGGGCACGAAAGTGCTACCAATAGTAAAGTTTAGAAGTTGCAATGATCTTCTAAACATTGGTCCAGATAAATGATTTCCAATTTTATTGATTTTCTGTTAGAAGTGTCACTAACGGGAGATTTTTTTTTTTGCAAGTCCTTTGATACCATCTCTAAAGTATATTTAAAGGGCTGCGAAATGGTTTGACGTCTCCCATTGCAAAATTTTTGGTACGTATTAATGTAAAAATGAGAATAAAAAATATAGTCTTTACGATCTTCACACAAGAGATAGAAAGTCAAATATGATAGCTTGATGTGATTAATAACGTTCATATTTTTCATTTTAATGGGTAAATAATGGGAATCAAACATGGGCTTAATTTACACAAAATACATTTTCTATACTTCTTATCGAACATGTTATCAAAGTGCATTAAAGGTAGGGATGTCAAACGGGTCAAGCGGCTCGTTGGCTCGTTAAGACTTGGCTCATGGACTCATCCAAAAATTTGAATTTTTTTTTTTTAAAAAAAGGTGCAAAAAATGTGCAAAAAAATTTTAAAAAAAAGAGCTCGCGAGTGGCTCGTGGGCCGAGCCGAGCTCATCCCCGAGCAATGAGCCGAGCTCAAGTTCGGCTCGTTTTTTAGGAGCCACGAGCTCAGCTCACCATGAGCTCAGAGCTCGCCACGAGCCCGAGCCGAGCTCATGGTTTAAAGGGCCCGTTGCCATCACTAATTAAAGGGTCCACGAAATAGTCCAAAAGTCAACCATGAGATGAATTGAATAAATGGCATAATTTTAAATTCCATTCGTAGGTTAAACCCCAAAAAATAAATAAATTTAATGCGACTTAATAGATAGATATATGTCCATGTTTAGTGAAAATTAAAATAGAGATTTTAATTCAAATCAAAATTAATAATTAATTTTAACCACATATTTTATGGAATCAACAATTTTTTAATTATATATTTCATTAATTTCTATCAAAGTCTGTTAAAAATCTAATTTTAAGCCCTATCAAACAAGACATAGAAATATTAATTTTATGCCATCCAGATCAAATACTAAAAATATGATAAATGAACTCCACATACACCCTTAAGGCCATGGCACGGTTTACCCCTCACATACCTCTTTCTTTAATATTCATTTATTAGCCTCCGCTACCCTTAAAGCCATGGCATAGTTTTCCCCTCACATACCCATCTCTTTAATAGTATTCATTTATTACCTATTTGCGTGCTTTGCTAACTCCATTTATTTTATAAGATGTCACCACGTTTATGAATAGAGGCTCGTGTCGCTTACACAGAAAAAATGCCAAGTCTTCAACCTTTCTTTGTCGTGTCATAATGCTTGGAACCTAATTTTGCAGGCATTTTGTTGTTCAACATTTCTAAACCGTAATACTGTCGTCCGAAGTGGATGGTTTCTAAACCGTAATCTTTTTTAACCAAACCCGCCCCATGTGATATGCGTCTATTAAACTGACTGTGCCCCTATTTGGCCTCATTTTCATTTTCATTCTTTTTCTCTTTCTTATTTTCAACCACACAATCTTTCATAAAATAATATTACACGCAAATAAAAAACTTTTTCATTCTTTTTCAACCACACATTATTGAAAACAATACTATTCTAACCATTAAAATTTGGCAAGAATGGAGCCAAACGGGGGCTATATATTCATCAAACGGATGAGAACCGTCTACGTTAGATCAAAGTGTTACGACTTCATTTTATCATTTCCTTTTTGCATAATTACACACTTTAGGTTTCTGGACTGTATGTCAAGAAACTTTAGGTATTTTTAATAAGTTCAATTTTGATAGGATCGTGTATTTTTATTTGGTCAATCATTACTTCTGTCAATATGCTTCAACGAATTTATTTTGATATCCTCGCAATTTATAATATAAAGCGGTACATCATGTACAAAAACGTTAATGACATATATATATATATATATATATATATATATTTGATTCTATTTCTTTCTCATAACAACACAACTCATTGAGATATTTCCATTTTTGACATTTCAGATACTTGAACTTCTTATGAGGTTTTATAATTAGTTATGGCTATATTTTTTCAAGAGTATATGTCTCCTAAATGGGACAATCTTTCTTATTTGCTCAATTTTCTTTTGAAGATTTTTGTTTTAGAACCGAGTGTATTTATGCTTCAGGCTTCTCATAAATTTATCAAATATAATGTAAATGTATTGTTCTCCCAAGGTGCTAATTCAAGTTAAGCATTTAAAGTTGGTGTATAAGATATTATTGATTTATTTGATTAGCAAATACATCTAAATGAATTATTTTTCGAACTTCTGATTCAAATATCTTTAGCAATTATTTGGATAATATAATAATGCATTTATATATTATTTTTCAACTTATTAATTCCCCCCTAATGCTAAGAAAATTGTTTAGTCAAGTTAACAATTAACAAACCACATTATATAAATATCACCTATTAGGGTTTGAGACATTATATAAAGGTTTAAACTATACATTTATCTTCAACATTCTTTATTTTTCATTTCAATGCATTGTGATGGACCAATTGTACATATGCTGCACTATCAAAATAATTAGATTAAAAAAAATTAGACTCTGACCATAGGTCAAATATAACGGAAATAATTTTGATGTTTGCATGATACTAATAGCATTCCCTAAACGGAGTTGGGAAGTACTTTGTTCTCAATAGTAGGTTTGGAAATTAATTGAAAGCATTTAATAATAGTGTTAAATCATTTATCGTTATCCCAACTCACACTTATTAAAATGTTGAGATTTAGGCTCATTAGTATTAACAAAATGCACATTCTTTAATGTATAATTTGAAAATTTTGCTCATAATTTAAAATTTGAACAATTATTATGCAAACTTTTGGTTACAAATACCATGCAACTATCTAGATGTATTATATAAATAAAGCAGCTGATTCAATAGCATGGGCTATAATAAAGGCCCAGTGTCTAGTTATCTGAATAATGGATCTAC